TGGAAACCTCAAATTTTTGCCTTTTTTTTTTAATGGAGCCCCTATTTTTGACAAAATGGGTTTATAACCATACAGGAATGACTTAAAATGTTGGGAATGGCCAGTGATTTCTCAGCAATGAAATTCAATAAAAAATTCATTGGATCATGCTAGAGAGAATTTATTTGATGTGTTATCTTTTCAACTCTTTACTGAAGAAAAGACTCTAGATGGAGGTAGAACGTTATCCAGGACAGCCTTTGTGCTGGGGAGTCCCTGTCAATCCAGGCTGGATCTAGACTGTGCTCCATAGAACAGGATTTGTTTCAAATACCAGCTTCCCACACCTGTGGGAGAATCTTCTCAAGCAAAAGTAACATGGTCTGCAGAGATGATTCGATTGAAGTTTCATCACGTTCAAATTTATTAATCAAAAAGAAAAACTTTAAGGCAGATTGTAGCAATTTTATGGAGGAAATTAAATATACTGTGATCAAATGGTAAAATGATACATTGAAAATAATAGCAATATCACAGTATTAGAACCAGACACTGATTTAAAAAAAGAAACCAAACTGGTTAAAGTCTGTGAAAACATGTGCTGAGAATATTCTGCTTGCTATTTTTTTAATATTCAGATAATCTTAGAATTTTTTGAAATTTTGTTTTATGTACATACATGTTATTGTTTTGGAACAGAGCTCTTTCTTTGAAAATATTTTTCAAATTGATCTATTTATCAAATTTGTGGTCATTTAAAATTATAATTAAACAGTAAATTATGGTTAAAATTGCCCTTCTGATTAAATGTCATGTTCATGTTTTTAAAGCATGAGAACTATGTATCCAGTGTTTAATTTTTAATGTGACAGTGGGCTTGCTTTTTTCACTTTGCTTATCTCATTGGGGTTGGACTCATGACCGTATTACCAGGAGATAGCAAGTATCTGAGTTATTTTTTCTGTTTTGTTTTATAACACTCAGAGAAACCAGACTCATAGAGCTCTGTTAACAGAAATGGAAAAAGATATACTAAAGCAATTTCAGCAATCTCCAGATCGTCATTTTCATCTTTTATCCAAAATGAAGCAAGCATTGCTAAATTTTCAAAATTCAATGCATCAGTACCCAGATCCAACAATTCATCCAAAAATTTCTAGTTAAGTTTAAATTATCTTCCAAAGAAAGAAATAGATTCCAGATCTATGAATTTTCTAAGCCTGGATTTTTTTGTTGTTGGAAAATAAAATCTAAAGCTCTATCAATTCTAAGCCACTCGGTGGCAGATAAGCAATATCAATATCATTATTTATTTCACTAATGCTTGTTGTGAAATTACTTAATTGTCAATCTGCAGGAAACTCTACTCTTCTGAGTTTTAATCTTGCATCGTTTTCATTGAAAAATGCACTTCATTCTTCCCTTGCATGGAAGATCATTAGGATTGCTGTAGATATCAGAGCCAGGCTGGTTTTTCAATTTGCAACTTTTTTTTTTTTGCTACATAGTTTAACCAACTTTATTAACTTCTTAATGGAGCAAATAAAAAATCTAGTTGTAGAATTAAGAGACAATTCTATTATTCTATATTCCATTATAATTTACTTTGGTGAACTTGACAATTTTTTTTAATATTTATTTTTTTTAGGTGTAAATGGACACAACACAATGCCTTCATTTTTATGTGGTGCTGAGGATCGAACCCGGGTCCTGCCCGTGCTAGGCGAGCGCTCTATCGCTGAGCCACAATTCCAGCCCCTGAACTTGACAATTCTTGAAGAAAACAGTAATGATTATCTTCATTGGAAAAAAGAAGACAACGACGATGCACGCTTGCATATTCTCAAGTATTTATTAACTATTTATTGGATTTCAATGATTCAATCAATAGCAGCAAGAATGGAGAAGATCAAAACGAGGGATGGGGAATTAGAGGAACCACAGCTGTTGATTCAATTCACCTCATTAAAAAATGGAAACCAAGTTTTTTTTCCTTGCAGAAATACCAAGAGTTCCTTTCATAGTTCAAGGAGTCCCAGTAGAACTTTTCCTCTTGGTAACTATTGTATCTCAGCCTGTTACTAGTCCTGCTGCTTAGTGCAGAGGACCCTTCCTCAGAGCAAGGTTCCTGAAGGAACAAGGTTGTGGTTTCCATCCTGACACAAGCCCCCTAACCCTAACACACTGCAGAATGTTTTCTCATTGCAACTGTGCCATAAGAATATTCTCCAGTGCAAAGCTTAAATTCCAAACCACATTTTGCACAATATGATTCTTTGTGGTTTTACAGAGTTAATGAGATAGTTGCAATTGTCACTGAACCTGAAAGAAAAGTCCTTCCTTCACAGCACCAAGATTGATTTTCACATATAATAAAATAATCACCATGGTGATGATACCCGGCCATTTGCAAGATGCAATTATCTGCTAGCTTCCTTTGTTCTGTGTCTTAGTAGTTTGTTCCCAGCACAGTGACCTTTGATATCACTGGAAAATGTAGTAACTTCCCTTCTCGATTATAGAGTCGTCTCAAGTTTCCCAGCAGCTACCTTCAATACACTCTTACACTACTGCATGGAGGTTGAAGTGGCTTATTGAAGAGATCAATTGACTGAAAAAGGGTGAAACCCTCCGAGCTGGAGAACAGCAGGTTAAGTGAAATAAACCAGACTCAGAAAGTCAAGGGTCATATGTTTTTTCTCCCATGTGGAAACTAGTGAGAAATAGAAGAAAAGAAAAAGGGATCTCATGAAAATAGAAGGGACAAGAGGAGAGGAGCGGTCGGGCTTGGGGGAGGGAGGAAAAGAGGGACAGGGGAGACACTGGGAAATGAAGTTGGCCACATTTTGTTTTGCGCATGTTCAGATTCCTCACAGTGAATCTCACTGTTAGGTATAATTACGAGGCACCAAAAAATAGAGGATATTGAAGCATGGAGAAAAAATGACATCATCAAAGTTCTTCATGGGTCTTCATAATGTTTGTTTCCTTGAGCAACATGAAATGTTACTTTATAAGAAACCAAAGAGGCTTGTAGCTATGTATTTACTAACAGATATGGTGTTTCTCATAGGTTTATATACGTACATATGTGTAGGCACAGTATTCGAACACATGCTCTGTCAGCTGTTTAATTTAACATTTGTTCTTCAAAAACTTGTTTTTTTCTTTGTTATTGTTGTTGATTCTTTCTTTTCTTTTTTTTTTTTTACAGTGGGGTTTGAACCCAGGGTGTTTTATCACTGAGCTACATTCCCAATACTTTTAGTTTTTTGATTTTGAGATAGGGTCTTGTTAATTTGGGGCCTCACTAGATTGATGAGGTTGGCTTCAAACTTGGGATCCTCCTGCCTCAGACTCCAAAGTTGCTGGAATTATAGTCTTGTGCCACTGTGTCTGGCAAATTGCATGAGTTTTAATTTAGTTTCTCAAGTTTTAAATGTTAATGGTACTCAAACTCTAAATTTCATTGGCCAGTAAATATCCACAATAACACACCTTGACCTCAGTTATGGCTACAAAACGGAACCCAATCTACAAGGGATCAGACTTCTAAGTCAAACTAACACAGACTCTCTGGGTCTTGAGTTTTTAAAATATCTTCTATTCTCACCATTTGCTTTACCACCACCGCTACATCCAGAAGAGACGTATTTTTTCTTGATAAAAGTCTAGTGAGACTTGTACAATCTGTACTGAGAGTTAAACATAAATAAGACAAATCTCTACTCTCCTTATATTGTTAAAATAAACTGAAAAAACAAGCTTAGTTTAAATTTAAGCTGTGTATAAATACAGTAAGGTATGAGATATATGCTTACACTGTTTTAGTTTTTTACACACTTTTTGTTTGCAGATGACAAACTAAAATGTAGCATGCCTTAACATGATCCAGCGTGTGTCCAGGCCCAGCTTCCTGGGTGGGTGACCAGTCCTTGCCAACAGGAAAACCCTAACTCAAGACACCTGACTCACCGGAGTTCAGCCCCGCTCAGGTCGGCCCTCGCTCTGTTCATGGAAACCAGCCTGTTCCTCCCCCGGCGGGTGTCCTGGCTATGTCAAGTGGCTGCACAAGTTTCTAAAGCCTTCCTCTCCACGTCTGGGCTGATCTCATCCCAAATTGGTAGCAACGTCCTTGGCTTGACCAACGACACATTTTAAGTGGCGCTTTCCTAAGTAAAGAATCAGTGACCAATAGAATGAGGGAATGAAGGGAACCCCCCTGGGGGTTGGGAGCAGGAGTCCCTGAAAGACCTCAGGGAGGGAGTCTTCTGCGTGTGGACATTCCTGCCTACTTGCTGTGGTTGGCTGAGAGAGATGGTTAAATTTTAACAAGTCATTTGACCAAGGGGGAGGAGTGTGAAGATCTCAATTAAAAACGGGAGGAGGCCTAGGAAAAGTCAGAATAGCTTACAGATTGAGGGTGACTCGGACCTGGTCTTGCCTTGGGTTGGCAGGGGTCAGGTGCTCTCCTCCTGTCCCTTCTAGCCCAGGGAGAAGCAGAGCTGGGGCCCCTGGGGAAGCAGACTTTCCCCAGGCTGCATAGCTTTGGATGAAAACTTGAAATTTGAGTAAAGTCCCCTGACCTGGGGGAAACTGTCACCATCTCTGAGCATGAAGGAGTATAAATGAAGACTGGTGCCGGCTGAGGCTTCAAAGCTATGGCGGAGGGAGCTTGCCAATGAAGACGTCTCACAGGAGAAGAAATGGAAGCCCTTTCAATTAAGCACTTCAACGTCAGCTAAGCAGGAAGCCCAGACAGCACTTTGGTTGCTCTGCGGAGTGGCGTTTGCCTGACCCACAGGAGACCGAGAGGTTAAGGGGCTTGTCTGAGGTCAGTGACTAATGAGACGCAGATCTGGGGCCAGGCTGGGCTCTGGCCTCTGGGTCCAGGTTCAATCTTTTCCAGGAGCTACAAAGAAAATTACTCTCCATCTTCTTCGGTGAAAGAGCCGTTACCCTAAAGTACAAACTTAAACCCCAAATTCTATGTTATCAGGACCAAAATGAGGTAGGAAGCTGAGACAAATCTTGGCCCTTGTTTTGGAAGAACGATTGTTCTAAACTGGTAGAGCTCACGTTAGTGTGCTTCAGAGTATCCCTAAGGCGCAGGCCACTGAGTTCCTCCACCAGTTTCTCACTCTGCACTTCTAATGCACTTGTAGGTAATGCTAATATCACTCTGTAGGGACCATAATTTGGGGATCTTAAAGCCTCATGTTGCCTCTGGTTAGTGCAAAAAGCTCTAGGAGGGATCGCTGGCCCTTGAAAAATCAGTGATTGTCATTTTAGATGCCAAAATAACTAAAGGGAAGTAGCTGCTCTCTGTAATCTGGTCCCTGGCTGAGAGAGGCTGACAGAGGTTTAAAAAAAATTGTTTATAAAGGTGAAAAGTGGGAGGGAAAACAGAGCCACAATGTGACACACAGGCCGTGATCAAGAGCCTCACTGTGAGCTCCCTGGCCCCTCTGAACGCTGCCATCCAGGGGAAACGGCCCCAAGGAAAGGGAAGCCCGTGGATCCCGAAGCACAGACTGCGCCCTGTTTTTCTGCACACACCTCCCTCCCCACTCTTCTCCAGGAGGTTGCTGACTGGTTAGAACTGGCAGGTACGCAGAAGCAAGCTCACAGGGCGACACGGGTGAAGCAGTGGTTAACAAGGAGGAAGAAATGGTCAGGAACAAAATTTTGGCAGGTGGGGAGCGTGCATCATGAAATGAACCACCCTCAACCCACTGGGACCTCTGGGGAGCCTAACAGAGACACCAGGAACCCAAGGGAACACGGCCCATGGAAAGGTGGCTGGTGAGCTTGGGGAAACGAAACCTTCGCAGACACTGAAATCACGCTGGACCGAGCACACCTGTTCAGAAACCCAGAGCAGGGCTTGAGGGGAGCTCAGAAAATAAAATGGGGGGGGGGAAGAGCAGACAGAAAAACATTCACAGAGGAGACAAATGGTGGGCAGGAAGAACAGACCCAGAGCTGCAGACCTATAAGGAAAAGGCTGCAATCCAGGAATATTCAGGAATAAATTCCCCCCCAGAAAGTAGAACCAGGACAAGGCGTCATGTTCAGGAGGTGGTCTGGGGAGGTGAGGCCACAAAGGTGTCTGATCTTCCAGGAGGGCTGGGAGGAGTTGAGGAGGGAAGGACTGGCCAACATGGGACTGCTGCTGTGGGACCCCCAGGTCTCTGTGTGCTGAAGGGGGCAGTGAGAAGCAATTACACACGGCCCCTCCCAGTGCCCCTGATCCAGATGCACCCCCATGTATTTCCCAAGTAGCACATGTACCATGAGACTGTCAGGCCTCACCTGACCGAGCTGGCGTAAAAGGTGGCCTGAGAGGATAAAAGATGGGGACAAGATGTGTTAGACCTAAGGACACACTGTGTCCCAGGAGAAGCTGACATGGGACGGAACTTGGAAAAACAATTTAGTGAAACTACTGAGCCCGGAGGGGAAGGAAAGTGTGTTGACCTTCCAGGCCATAGGCAAGACAGACACACAGGTCCCTAACCCAAGGGAAAGCCCAAGCTGGCATCAGACCTGACTACTGCAGAGGTCAATTCTAGGAGACCGTGGAGTGATATCCACAGACCCCTTGGGGATGGAAAGGAAACCAGAACATTTCAATGCTGGCCAAAGCCTTGTCCAGTCAGGAGACACTTGCTTCTGAGTTTATAAGAACTCAAAGACAGCCTTCGAGGCACAGCTTAAAACACATTCCCCAACAGGACGGAGCCTTCTGAGATGTCAAAACACAGAAACCACAACAGGGAATGGTAGAAATCAGTGACCCGACTTGAAGACTGAGATAGAATTGAATCACCATGAAACCAAAAGCAGAAAATAGGGTACAAGTGACTTACATTTTGACATTGTAAAAATAACATAAAAAGCAATATGGATGCTTTACTTTCATTTACTTTCCTTACACCTTATAATAGGGAACCATTAGATATTGTTGAGCATTAAATAATACAGTTTTCCAGTGATCAAACTTAACAATTTTTTTCAAAATTGTCCCTCAGTTTTAGAGATTTGTGGCTGCATTAATAACTCTTTCTGCAAAAAAGAAATATCTGAAGTTCATGATTCTTTCCATTTTAATTTGGTTGCTTTATTTTCTGTTGTATACACATGAAAATCATCAAAGACCAATCACAAGCGTTGGTGAGATTCTGCACAACAGGTCGCGGCTTCACTCTGTGGGCAGGGTACTGCTGCCCCACCCTCCTGGTCTCATTCTGTGTCCTTGCTGTCTTTACTGGAAGCTCTGTCTGTGGTCAAGAGGGCTTTGGGGAGGATTTGATGCTCACCAGACATTTTATGACTTGCTTTGAACCACTTGTTCTGGTTGTTTTTGGAAGATCTTCAGCAGTAGTTGGAGGGAAGGAAAGAACTGGGAGAGCCATCTATAAAGAAGGCAGCCCATGCTGGGATTTTTGATCTTGTGCTTGTTTTACATTTTTCTCAGAATTCATGGCAGCAAATGTGCATAAGATCTGCTGATGGAGAACAAGAATTTGAAATATTAGTGAAAGAAGACGGGAAAAGCTGCCATGTGAATAGGTGTTGCAAAGGCTAAGGGGAAGGAGGGTGCTCAACGTGGCCAAAAGCTTCAAACAGAACAGAAAATCAGCCAGGAGAAGAGCGGCCCAGCTCGACCTGCTGCCCACCCGGCAGCCTCATTCCAAAGCCTGAGCTCTGTGCCTGGGGGGACATGTGAGCATCTCCACGCTCTCAGGGGCTCAGCAAGACTTCCTAATGACCCGCTCAGTCCAGAGCGCTGAGGAAGTGTTGTCCAGGAGTAGAGATCGCTGAGCAAAAACATTTTGAAGCAGAAAATTATTTTGGTTAATGAGTAAGTATGTCTGTGCATGAATCCTACGTCTTTATACACCTCCACTGAACTCCAACTCCATTTAGAGTTCCTTCTATAAATACCTGAGGTGATGACAGAGAAGGGTAAACGTTAAGCATTAATTCTGAACTAATATCTGGAGAGGAAGACCACAAAATAAACAAGTGAGCTACTTAATCATCAAGTATAAACCATCAGCCAAACTTCTCTGGGCATATCCCTTAGCTTCCTTCTGACTTTTGGGACCGTGGTGATGTGCCACGTCCTTTTGGCTACAGTGGGGATTCTGAATGGCCCCAAAGGCCCCTGTGTCAAAGGCTTGGTCCCCAGCTGATGGCATCCATGGGAAGTGGTGGAATGTTTAGGAGGTGGGGCATCATGGAGGAAGTGGAGTCACTGGGGGCAGGTTCTTGAAGCACATAGGGCGACTCTGGATCCTCCTTTCTTCCTCTCTCTCTCTGTCTCTGCTTCTAGGTCACCAGGATGTAAAAAGGCCTCCTCTGCATGTACTCCCACCATGACTCACTGTCACAGACCCCAAGTGTTGGGGTCTCTAAAGCCATGAGCCAACGTAAATCTCCCTTCAAAGTTGATTTCTGTGAGGTGTTTCGTCACAGCAATGGAAAGTGACTGAAGCACCCAAAGGAAAGCCATAAATGAAGCAAATGAAGGCTGGGGGAAGCCCCCAGTGCAACACCAATAGGAACACACGGGCCTAACCATAAAGCAGGTCATGCAGAGGGAGTGACCAGGTCATGCCGAGGGAGATGGGAAGAAGACCGCCAACTAAGGAACTTTGGAAAACAGGACGTGCCTATGTAGACACCTACAACTTAGGATGGTTCAACTTAGGATTTTTTTTGACATTATGATGGAAATCCCATACACACTCAGTAGAAACCAGTCTTTGAATTTTGATCTTTGCCCAGACTCACGATACGTGGTGCAGTCCTCTCTGGAGATGCTGGGTGGCAGCAGCAAGCCCCAGCTCCCAGCCGTACGATCCTGAGGGTGAACCAGCGCTTCTCCAGTGTACTGTGCTGCGGAGGTCTGAGGTCAGTGAGGTAAGTACGTTAAATGCTTTTTTGGCTAAATGAGACTTTCAACTTACAGTGGGTTTATCAGATGTAACTCCATTGTAAGTCAAGGAACACATGTATACTGAAAGAACAAATATGAAAAGTTAATAATGTGGTTTTGTACAGTGGTTTGTATTGAGAGTTCTGAAAATACTTTATGTGTTTTGGGAGATTAATCCAATAGGAAGATACATTATATTGTTTCTCCCTGTCAGAGAAAGGAGTTACAGAAAGGAAAGTAAGAAATCGAGAGAAAGAACACGTTGGTGCGGGTTGGAAGTGCAGGTGCAGTACAAACTCGTGGTCTGTAACAGGTGACGGATGATTGACAGATTATACCACACTGTCTTTAACTGCACAATAAGGAATTTGAGATAGATGACCTCAAGCATCACTTCACCTCTAAAATTCTAAGATACCCTTTTGGGATTTTGACAGATAGATAGAAAGCTGTGTGCACTAGTTCTCCCTGATGGGAGGGCTTAGACACTTAGTAAAATGAATACTTAGCGTCAAGTTTTGGATTTCAAAATAATATCCAATAAGAGGCACCAGGCTCCTTAGAGAAATGGATATACTATGGCTGAGGCAGACAGAGTACAGAAAGAGCCTGAAGTACCCCGTGGTGCCAGGGATGGAGGGAATGCTCCAAAACAGTGGGGCGTGTTGAAAAGGAGCCAACCCAGAGGAGCTCACAGTGGCTAATGTGGGATAATTTGAACAGAAAAGAAGAAAGAAGAGATGGAGGAGAGAGGAGGGAGGGAAGACGACTGGGGATGGGAAGAGAGGAAGATAGAGGAGAGGAGGGGAGAGAGTGCACGGAGGGAAGAACTAGAGGAGGAATCTGGGCTGTAGGAAGTCACTGTCAGACACCCTGGTTGCATGGATATTAAAATTTGTGGGCAAAATGTAACAAGAAACGGGACATTTCCCCAAACTCTCTCCCTCAGAATTGGAAGTCAGCACCTTCACCGCGATGTCCAAGTGAACCTCACCGGGAAGCAGACGTAACAATCTGATGCCTCTCCTCTTATTTTGCACCAGGAAGGCAGCAAAATCCCTCTTGGGGTTTCCTTGCCAAAAAACAAGTACCCCAAATTAAACACAGGCAAGAGCAGACACACTTAGATGAGAGACTTGCTTAAGGTGTCAAGGTCACGAAAGACATGGAAAGACCCAGGAACCGTCCCGGATCGGATGAGATCAAGACAACTCGGTGGACCTTGGACCAGAAAAATGAACACTAATGAAAAAAAACTGGTGACTTTTGAACCAGGCTCATTTGAGACTGGTTAATAGCATCATATTATATGCTATTATTACTTTTTGTTTTGATAATTGTCCTATGATTATATAATGTGTAGCATTTGGAAAAGCTGTGTAAAGTGTGGGTAGACCGAAACACTTTGTACTATTTTGCAAGGTTTTTCAGAGGCTGTAATCATTTCAAAATGAAATGAATATGAAAAAATGAAAACCTAATACTACTTTTTAAAACTAGATGAATCCAAGCAGGAGCCTTAGAAGGCAGAAAAACGGGCAGTAAAAGCCCAGTTTCAGATGGAGAAAACTGGAATTTCACCCCGGTCTCATCTGTAGCCAATCCCTCATTGGACAGTGTGACAGTCAACAAGGAAATGACGATTCTAAGAGAGCATCCTGCACACAGAGCTGCCTTTTCTACCACCTTCTCTTTTTCTGGGTGTGGTTCCACATTCTCCGGCGCTCAGCCCCTTCTTCCTGGATGCCCATGCTGCTTTACATCTCTGAGCTCAGCACCTTCCCCTTGTCTGTCCTTTTTAGCCAAAGTCTGAGCTGCTTTCTTGCTTAGTGATGCCTACAGCTACAGCTTTTTCTTAGACTCACACCTTTTATTCCTTTAAAACAAAAAAATAAATCTGTGGTCAAAGTTTGTGCCTTAATGGTAATTGACATCCCATTACGAAGGAGCTTCCTCAATAACAGCAATGATTTTTCACAAAAGGGATGAAAGGAAGGTCCTTCGGGTCCTGTGCCTGAAATAGGATGGAAGTAATAAAGGAGAAGGAGGAAGAAGAACCCAAGGTCCCGAGGGCAGAAGATTTTCTTCTGAAACAGTGGCTCTCAAACCACAATCTCAACGGGGTGTTGGGCAGAAGTGTTCAGTGACTGAAATAGTGGCTCTGTTTTCACAGTTTAGTGGAGGGGGGAAAAAAACAGAGTGAGTTGAAGTCTTCCTCTTAATCTGCCTGGGGCTTTTGTTCTCTTGGAAGAACAGAAATTACTGCACACAGAAAAAGGTGCTCAGCATGAGAGCTTGCTTTTCTGTGGACCGTGGGCTTGTGGCTCTGTCTGTGATTGCACACAGAACAGACGCATATTTTCTGCTCGTCAAGATGCTCACGTGCTTGGTGGGATGAAACAGATCAGAGTTCCAGGCGCTTTCTCGGCACAGAGCATCCCAGCGTCTGGCTATTTCCCCGAGAGTCTTTGCGGCTGGCTACCATGCTGAAGACTCTCCCAGCTTCCTGGCTGTGAGTCTGTGCATGCTAAAGAGGTATGGCCAAGCTCTTAGCCAAGAACATTGCAAAACACAAAGCCGGGGGCACCTCAGGGCCTCGTTGTACAAATGAGGCCTTGTGCCCAGGATGACTCCAGTTGGGGTAAGCAGGTACCATCCAGAGAGTGAGACCAAGCCAAAGCTCTGCGGGCACCACCACGGCCTCCCTGCTCGGTGGTCAGGTGGTCATCTGTTCCAGGGTCGGCCCCTGCCTCTTCCCAGTTCCTCTGCTCCTTTTTTCATTTGGGAAATTATTTCTGAAGGTGTCCACATTTGAATTTATTGCTCTGAGCGGAGTTTTGAATAAAGCCTTCTACCAATAAAGTTGCTACCTTTGACCGATGAAGAGGTTTATTGCACTGGGTGGACATTCTGAATTACTGAAGCTGGTATAAAAATATGAAGTTTTTGAAAATATAAAGCAAAGTCCCTCAGCTTCCCGGGGACCGAGCTTGACACACTCTAGCTGTGTTGCCACCATTTGAGGACAGACCTTTCGAATGGCCCAAGTTGGAGACACACACACACACACACACACACACACACAGCAAGGTACAGGAAGCCATGCCTCTGTGTCTAAGGGCTGGACTGGATGGATGCACAGTCCCCAGGACCAGGAGGACACTCTGCTGGGCTCTGCTGAGCCCTCCTGCTGTGTGCCTAGGGACCTGCGCTGGACAAGGCCACGCCTCAGAAGGGAGAGGCACAGTGGTGGAGCACAACAGAAAAAGACTGGCCCAGCGAGGTCAGAGCTATTAGCCGTGGGCTTCCCACAAGTCATGCCATCTCTCTGGCCACACTCCCTTTAATCGCACAATCAGGAATTTGAGCTAGATGACTTCAAGCATCACTTCACCTCTAAAATTCTAAGATATCCTTTTGGGATTTTTGACTGGAAGCCATTCATTTCCTATATAAACCTAATTCCATGAGAATTAAAAGTAGAATGCACTGCCTATTAATTTTTAATGGAAATGTTTACAGAGAAGATAAAATGAATTTTTCTCATGGGAAGTTCTCTTACACTGTTGAAGCATATGCCAAAAAAGAAAGTGGAAATTGGCCATAAAACAGTGAATCTTTTCCTCTTTATACGTTGTGCAGAAAGATGATTTTGGAATGCTGTTTCTTTGGATAAATGGCTCCAACCTCCAGATAACCCTAGGTGGCCTGAAATTTCACCCTTCTGTGGGTAACTTTCCTATGACCAGAAACAGATGCCTGAAATCCTTGTTTCTTATTGTCTATTTATTCATGTATAGACATCAACTTCAAAGACCCTGCTCAGAGGCTCGCAGCTTACTTTAAGTTGAACTATTAGTTCATTGTCTATTACCATAACGAAATACCCGGGTCTATTACTTTATTTAAGCTCACAACTTTGAAGAAGTTGTGAAAAAAAAGTCTGACCACCATGGTACTGGCTCTGTTGAGGACAACCATGGTTGCATCACATCATGGCAGATGGCATCATGGCAGGATGACCTGCAAGGATCATGTGGTGAGACAGGAAGCCAGAGCTACCAGGGAGAGATCAGTAACAACCTCTCTCTAGGTCCCACCATTTAAAGTTTTCACCACCCCTTAAGATCAGTACATTGGGACCAATCTTCCAACACTAGAACCTTTGGTAACACACTCAAGCCATACACAAACACTAGCAAACAGTCTGAGGACACTTTGAACCATAATCGTTTAAACTGTAAAACACTACTCACTCGTGTCCGTCAACAAGAGAACTAGTAGAGCTGCAGAAGCTATTTAGTGGAGGGCTGAGCTTTGAAACAACCCAGGAGCGTCTGAAGAGTGACAGGGAACACTCATGGGCTGTGTGGTAATGAGAGACCCAAACACCAAGCACTCCACGGGTGCTGGGCTTGTCACTGAGGCCACTGTGGAGAAGTGGATGTAGCCACGGATGCGAGACTACACAAGGTGCATGGAAGAGTGGGGGAACCAAAGAGCTGTCTCAAGACAACCACCTACAAGTCTTTGTTGGTGACATTAGAGAAGACACAGAAGAACATCACCTATCAGGTCATTTTGAACACTGTGGAAAAATCAAAGTTACTGCAATCATAACTGAATGAGGCAATGGAAAGAAGAGGGGCTTTGCTTTTGTAATTTTTGACGACCATGCCTCCTTGGATAGGATTGTCATTCAGAAACACCATGCTATGCATGGCCACAACTGTGACAGGAGGCAAGCAAGAGAAAGCAGTGCTTCATCTAGCCAAAGAGGTTAAGGTGGTTCTGGAAACTTTAGTGGGCATGGAGGTTGTTTGGTGGCAATCTGAGGAATCCTCAGTGGCTGTGGTAGTGGATATGGTGGCCGCAGGGATGGCTACCATGGATTTGGTAATGATGGAAGCAAGTTCAGAGGTAGTGAGAGCTACAGTGATTTGGGCAATTACAACAAAAGAGGAAACTTAGGAGGCAGAAGCTCTGGACCTTTTGGTGGTGAAGACCAATACTTGGCCATTCCATGAAACCAAGTGGCTATGGTGGTTCCAGCAGCAGCAGTAGCTGTGGTGGTGGCAGAAGGTTGTAATGCTGCTAGGAAACAAAGCTTAGCAGGAAAGGAGAGCCAGAGAAGTGACCGGGAGGCTACAGGTTCCAACAGATCTGTGAACTCAGCCAAGCACAGTGGTAGAGGGCCTCGCAGCCACCAAGAAGGGTTAGGCCACACAGGTTATTCTCTTTTCTGTTCTTTGGAGGTGTAAAGCATTCCAACAAAGCATTTTAATGTAGACTTTTTTGCACCCATGCTGCTAATTGCTAAATGTGGTAGTCTGATTATGATGCTGAATAAGTGTGTCTTTTTATACAAATAAAATAAAAAGGAATGGACCTTTAAAACATACTGAGCACCTGAAGACCACCTAATAAGGCAATCTACCACATCACTTCACCAGCAAAAAACTCAAAACAAGACAGGTCTAATCTTTGCAGAAAGAAATCAGCATTAGTGTTAGCTTGAAGAGGTCAGGCAGGAGATGAGGGAATCCCCTGAGCTGACGAAGGTGCTCTGCCTCTTGCTAGTGGGGGTGTTACAGAGGTGCAGATGTTGCACCCCCAGATGAGCTGTACATTTAAGGTCTGTGAAGTTCACTGCATGTAAATCGTATATCAATAAAGTTGTTCATAGTTTTAAAAATACTATCTCCACAGTCTCAGATATTCTATTTAAGTTATATCCTATAACTTAAAACAAGTGTTTCATAATGTCTTAAAAACCTTGGAAAATCATATTTTTGATTCAGTTATTCCACTTTTAAAATATTATCCAATGATAAGAATAAATGTTGAGGTTCAAATTTTTTCTATAATTGTGATTACACATGAATGTTTTTTTCCCTAACATTTTATTACACAATTTTAAACATATGCTTTAAATTTTAAAGTGTAAGGAGTTTTACAGCAAACATGTCCACACCCAGCCACCACTGGATTCTGCATTAACATTTTACTTATCATATATATGCACATGTATGCTTCTATCCATTCATTATCCATCTCTCTGTCCGTTGACTTCATACATCAGTTTGTGAAAAATTTGGCATCTTTACAACATTGAGCCTTACATTGCTGGAGTGGAAGAAAATGTATCAAAATATGAACAGATTTATTTTTTCTCCCTGAAAGGGAATTCCAAGAGTTTGTAAATCCTACCATGGGCAACTAAAATATTTTCTTAAGGGTATTCCTGGAAATAGAGCTGAAATACCCAGGAACAGATGGAGTGACTGTCTGTGTTGCAATGTGGGGGAACGGGAGGACACTTCTTTCAGACGCCTTCCCTCCTCTGCCCTGGTTCCGGGAATCCTCCCACTGGTTGGCCACTCTGGAGCTCATGCCTAGCTCCTCAAGTGTAAATGTGACTACCGTAGGGGAAGAACACAGGGGGCCATGATTGCTGTTCTCATGGTTCGCATGTCCACACAGCCCAGTGAATGACTCCGGAGCAGGGGCTGCCCAGCAAGCTGAGAACTGGGGGGTCACCAAGGGAGGATGGGTCTCGTGATGGTGACTCAGGGTGGGGTGCCGGGCAGCGAGGGGAACCTAGTGCCTGAGGGCAGAGGAAACGGGAAACCAAGTACCTCAAAGTGTTGGGACGTTGGGGGGTGGCGCTGGCCCTGTGTTCTGGACAGGCTATCTGCAAGAATGTTTTCATCCCCGGTTGACATGCACCTGAGGTTGGAAGACAGTCAAAATGAACCCCTACTTTTCTTGGTAACTATGAGAAATTCTGGGCTCACCCCAAATGCCGAATCATGGTTTGCGTTATGCATTCGGGGTGCCGGGAGGTTTCAGTCCATCTTGCCGTTTCCTGGCTCGTGCCACGTTGACTTTCTGTGGAAGGGCTGTGAGGACGGCAGTGGGCCTCCTCGGGAGGCTCAGAGAAGCTCTCTGCCAATCCAATCAACTGCAGCTCTGACCTTGTTTCCCAGACTGTAGGCCCTGTTGTTCCAAAATGAATATTTTTGAATATCCAATACGCCCCCAAGGGAGGGCAGAGGGCCTCCCCACCTTAGTTTCTCCTGCAAAACAAGTCGAGATGAGGTCTTTGCTGATGAAACTCTTGGCTTCCCCCTGTCCAGCTGTGCTTCATCCCTGTGGTTTCCCCCCTGAAAATCCCAAAACAGTCACAGAGACGTGTCTCTAAGCTAGACTTGACCTGGCCTGCCTGGCTGCCTTCCAGAGGAATTTTTATGGAGCTATTATTGCTTTCTTCTACAGAGACTTTTTTTTTTTTAATTAGAACCCATGCAAAGCTGTGGCCCCGCCGTTTGGCCACCCTTTCAGAAATCTAGTCTTTCTCTCCGGAGCTCATCAAGGACACAGGCTTCTTTCTCTGGGCCTGATCCTAGTTTCTGAGAGGAACCTGTGGAAGAAGATAGGCCTGGCTCCCTGATCATGAGCAGGAAGACATCAGAGATAATGATAGGACAATTTGGGAGACCCCGAAGTGTGCCCCTCCACCCCATGATCATCCCATCTGGGCTTCAGGGAGCCCAGGTACAGTTGGCTTTTCGCACCTACAACCACCACAAAATCCTGCTGTTGGCAGAGGCTGGGGTTCGTAAGGAGTCACTCCACTTGAAGTCCCAGAATTCAGCTCAGCGGGGCCTCAACCCCAGCTCCCTGTCGGACACTGGGACTGATTAGCCAGAAGAGCTTCCCGCCATCCGCCGTGATTCCTTGGTTTGTTCGACTGCATGTCCCTTTAGACTGTGAGCCCCTGGAAGGTGGCACTGTGCCTCTTTCCCCTCTATTCCCAGTCTCTGTCACAATATTTGACCTGCAGAGATGCTCCGGGAATGTGGAGGGAATGCTGAGTTAGAGCTGTTAGACCCAACCCGCGGCCCTCCTTGCTGACACCATACCTGCTGAGGGCGTCTGTACACGTATGATTGCACGACCCGTGTGACTGCCCCAGGTCGAGCCGGAGGAAGGAGAAGTTGTGCTCATCTGTGTACAATGTGTCAAAATGCCTTCTACTGTTACTTATGATTATTAGAATAAAATTTTAAAAAAGAATACACAGGAAACTCCTGAAATATGCCAAAAGAAGGAAGGTGAGCGTGGTAGGAAAGTCTCTCCCCTTCCTCTTCCTCCCTCATGTGACACCACGATCTTGATGGACTAGAGACCCCTTAGTGGAACTGTGAGGAGGGTAGAGCTTGCCTCTGTGGTGTCTTCCTCCTGGGCTGACCTGCGAGCTCCTTGAGAGGGGCCTGCATTTACCTGATCCCAGCACGGAGCTGAGTTTCATCATCTATGAAAGGGGTCTAACAGTCTCAGAAGGAGCCGTAGGGGGACTAACAACCTACCACATAGGTGGGGTGTATCTCAGTGCCTGCCGCAGAGCAAGAAACGGTGCAATTATGGATTATTATGATCACTGCTGTTTGGGGTAAAGGGAGAAATGGGGGGGAACCATTTTCAGGCCACTGTTTTACTCCAAAGTCTCGTGAAACCCTGAGGGTCTCTGGCTGGGGAGTCAGGAGCTGGTCCCTCTCTCAGTCCTTTTGGTTAACCAAGTTCCTTGGCCCAGTGGTTTACACTTCCAGATTTCAGGGTTTTGACAGCATAAAGAAGAGGTTGCTTGAAAACAACTGAGGTCAGTTTTGCTCTAAGTTTCTCCAATATTTTGTTGACAATAAAGGGCCAACTTACCCTTAAATCTGGCCCTGTTTGACTAACAATTTTTAAAATAGTTTTTAAACAGCTGGATTGTACTACAGAGGTTCTCTTTCTTTGTAATGTAAAACCTGAGATTAAGAGAGAATGTAGCCGTATGCCAATCTCCTGATGCGGCCTAATTGGAAAATCTCTGTTCTGCAAGTCCCCAGTAACATTCGGCTTTCCACCTGAGCTTGGGTGTGTGGAACCTTGAACACACATGCACACGTTCACCAGGAATGGTAGTGCCGTTTCTGAAGCCGTGCTTTTATCTGGCCTCTAAAGGACACCCCTGTGCTCAATAATCCATACATTAAAAGAACCCTTTAACAATGATTCAACAACTGACCAGTATAAAGAGAATTTCAGTAAAGGGGAAATGAGGGAAAATAACAAGAAAAAAACTAACCAAATAATAGTAGAAGTGCTCAACAATGGCCCGTGTCTGAATGTTTGCGTTTCTACTCAATTTACCTTTCTCTCCCCTGTGGCTTTCATTAAACAAACAAGTGTTCGTTTATGTTCAACTCTGCAAAAGCTCTCCAATAGGCACTATGAGGGGTACAAAGATGAACCAACCAGAGATACCCCCCTCCACAGAGCCAGCAGCTGCCTAGAGGGCACGGGGCAAACACCTGGGCAACTGTACCAGGAGAGAAAATGTTGAGTTCCCAGAGCAGAGCAGCAGGTAAAGCACTGGGCCCAACCACAGAGCCGGACAGAGCTGGGAGTCGCCCGTAGGACATCCAATCAGTTCCAAAAGGGTACCAAGGACACTCAGGAGAAGAAAGCTGCTGGTTTGTTGGTTTAGGACACATTGTGACCTTGAAAGCCTGGCTAAGGAGCTTGAACTTTATTCTCAAAGCAAAATGAAAACATGAAAATTTTCTCAGCCAAAGGATTGCATTGGCATAGTTGGGCATCATCAGAAAAGAGAAAAACAGGAGGAAGAGGAAGCCGAGGACCAGAGAGGAGACTTGTAAAAACTGCAGAAAAGCAACAGGTAACCGAACTAGGGTCGTGACAGAAGGTTTGGAGATGATTGGATGGGGCTCAAGGGCTTTAGAAGGTCTACTGGTCAGGTGCTGCTCTCAGGCCATGCAGGTGCTGAGCAGGAAGAGGAGACACGGAGACCAGTACAATGAACACACTGTGAACAGAAGACTCGGGAATTCAGAGATGTGAGTGTGAACTGATATTCTGGAATGAAGGTAGGACTGGGCAATAGATTTGCTGGTTGTTGGCGTGGATATAATGCACAAGACTAAATGGAATTGTCAAGGAAGATACCATAGAAAGAAGAACAGTAGTCCTCTTTGCCCCAGTATCAGTTAACGAAGTCAGCCAGTCTAAAAATATTAAATGGAAATTCCAAAAATAAGCACTTCATAAGTTTTAAATTGTGCAGTGCTTTGAGTGGTGTGATGGAATCTCAGATCTTGCCTCTCCCCCAGGCATGAATTTTCCTCTGTCCATGTGTACATGATGTATATGCTACCCTCCTGTAGGTCACTAAGTAGCCATCTGTAAGCAGGTGTTTTGTCAGCTTTTTTCACTCCTGTGACTAAAAGATTCTACCAGCACAACATACAGGAGGAAACGTTCATCGGGGGCTCACAGTTTCAGAAGTTTTCATCCATCAACAGAACACCCCATTCCTCAGGGCTCAAGATGAGGCAGGACATCATGATGGAGGAGTGTGGCAGAGGGAATCAGCTCACATGGTGATCAGGGAGCATAGAGAGGTCTCCACTTGACACACAAATATATACCCCAAAGCCATGCCCCCAACTCCTACCCTACCACTTCAGTTACCACTCAGTTAATCGATACCAGGGGATTAATTCACTGATTGAGTTAAGACTCTCATAACCCAATCATTTCTCCTCGGAACCTTCTTGCATTGTCTCACATGTGAGCTTTTGGGGGACACCTCACATCCAAACCATAACAGCAGGTCAACTGTCACAGTA